TTGTACTTGTGCAGCACTGCTTCAGCATCTGAGGAGTCATGTCACATAGTCCAGGCACAAAGGACACAATAATCATGAAGAAAAGGACAGAATGCAAATACAGCGGAGGACATCATGCAAAGGAGAACAAGGTATTGTAGGGAATAGCACAGCTTTCACTGCAGGAAGCAAAAGTGAAAGAGACAGGCAGACGGAGCGAATGAGCAAGCAGTTAAAAGGACGTTGCTTGATGAATGGGAGTGTGAGAGTGCAGAGCTGCGGGCAGCCTCTGGTGGCTGCAAAAGCCTACTGTACCTGGTATTCCCAGGCAGTCTCCCATCCAAGTACTAACCAAGCCTGAGTCTGCTTACTTTTTTCAGATCAGGTGAAATCAGGCACTTTCAGACTAAGAACATAAGAACATCAGAACATAAGAACATCAGAGCATAAGAACTCGGAGCAGGAGTAGGCCGTCCGGCCCTTCGAGCCTGCTCCGCCATTCAATAAGATCATGGCTGATCTTTTCTTGGACTCACATCCACTTACCCGCGTTCTCACCATATCCCTTAATTCCTTTATTGTTCAAAATAAATCTACCTTATCTTTAAAAACGTTTACTGAAGTAGCATCAACTTCTTCACTGGGCAAGGAATTCCATAGATTAACAACCCTCTGGGTGAAGAAATTCCTTTTCAATTCAGTCCTCAATCTGCTCCCTCTAATCTTGAGGCTATGCAGAGTTGCTTAATAAGGCCTAGCCCGCAACATCACTATCCGTACAAGAAAAAGAAAAGCAAACATGATAGAACAGATTTTTTGATTCTGCTGTTGTTTGAAGGATAAGTATTGGCTGCGACAATGCTAAGAAATCATCTGTTTTCCTGTGGAAACTGTCACGAAAAGATATGTATTGGTAAAGTAACTTCACTACCTATTTACCATGCTTTAGGGAATGCAGTATGAAATGCATGTTTTGGAGAGATGATGTAATAACTTACAAAAGCCAATCAAATACCAAAAGACTAATTTCAAAAAGCAACCTCACACAGAATGGACATTTTCCTTATTTATTTCTTTACATCCATTCATTTGTGTGCATTTAAGGAGAAGTTATTATAAAAGGCAGGAAAGTCATAGAAAATATGAATGGGTAGCAACATGACTTCTTTGAAATAGCAAGAATAGTTATTATAAGGATAAGATCGCTATAGATTATGCAGGCAGGCTTGTATGGGAGAGATACCAAGTTCACATTGTTAGGGCTGCCCATGACTGACCCGCACAAAATGGCTGACGGCTGGCCATGGCTAATGCAGAAATAGCTGACAGTAGTTAGAGCATGTGGGGAAAATATGTGCTTAATATAGTCTCTGCAGGTGGAACAATGGTAACTTTGTATAATCAAAGTCACTAAAATGAAATAGAATGTGCAGTTGCAATTGCTTACATAGATAAGAACATTTCACACTAATTAACTGTTTCTCTTGAATTATTTAAGCAATCTTTTACGATGCTAAGAATAGGCTTGTACTAAGATTCTTCAGATAATCGTAGATATAGATTCTTAAGTAGTTGTAGATCCACATGTATACAAATAATCGCTACAAACATTAAAGCAAAAGATTTAAACTAGTTTCAGTCAGTTAAAGCGACCACACCCCCCCACCCCCTGCCATTTATCACTACAGGGAGGAATAAATAGAGATTAGCAGACATTGGAATGTGGATTCAATGAACACGTTAAGACACAAATTGTTAGCTAAAGAATTCGAACATTAGGTGTAATGACATAACTTTGTTGGAACTGATCAAAAATCAATATTCTTCTGTATTTCCTGTAATGAGGAATTTAAAGGTCCCTGAAGTCATCGGCAAGTATCCAATTAATTCGCAGTTAATACAGTGCAGCTGGCAAGTGTTGCTTGAATACAGTATCCAATGTGAAAAACCACAAGGGGAAAGATAAATAAAGTCTGGCAAAACATCATGATAGACTGGAGGTGGACCACAAGCCTGTCCATCTCAGTGATTAGCAAGCTTGAACTGTGTAAGATGCTGTACAAGAGACCCAATTACAGAGGGATAACTTCGTGCAGCTGACCAATTGTTATCAAAGCGGGGTGGGGGAAATGTGCACGCTAAGTCTAAACTGTATAAGACATTCTGAAGCTTTTTGTTTGCTTCTTTTCCTGTGTGCTGTAAATCACAATAAAGATCACCAGAATCCACCCCCTGACTCGGATTCTCATTGAAAATATGAGATCTAACACATCCTGCCTGTGCTATCACATAGGAAATGAAATTGTAGAACCAGCAGCAGTCAGTGTGAAGCTGTCATGGTGGTTTCCACTCAGATTGAAAGGAAATTACTCTGAAAGTGGATAATCCATTGGAACCCAATATTGAGAGAAGTTGGGGAAGAACTTACAAAGATTCCCATTATCAAAATACCATAAATCTTTGGATAGGAATTGTGCCAAAGGAGTGGAGAACAAGGATGTGACATCAGTCCACAAGGAATTTACCTCAGTAGGGTGGGTCCATCACACTTCAGGGAATCTAATAGTGGATAAAATTACTGAGTGATTGGAGATAAAATTGAGTACAGGCTTTCTACAAAGGAAAAGATTATTGTTTACATAGTACCTTTCAGAACCCTAGAAGGGCCCAAAACAATTAGTAGGCATTGTAAGCATAGTTATTATGGTAGGGAAATATGGCAGCCAATTTGTGCACTGTGAGATCCACAAATTGACCAGGTAAATTATTTTTAATAATATTGGTTGAGATATTATTATTGGCCAGGTCTTTCTCACTCAGGTTAGGTGAGAGCCATAGGATTTTTGAGATGATAGAAAGGCCTCTGATTAGCTGCCATCCTTCATGTGAGATGCTAATGTAGAAAACAGTTGTACATTTGATGATCAAATGATTTGTTAATCTCAGAGTGTGGATGGCGATAATTTTGTGTTTCTTGGTCTTTTAATCAATTGCCTTTTAGAGATCTGTAGTCTTGAATGGATTTATCCTATTTTGGACCATAAAAATCAGTTTGAGGCAATGCAGTTTATCAAGTATGCCTCCACTAAAAGCCCTGTATCTCTAGCATGAATGCCCCTGTACATTTCTGATACTGTGTTGCACAAGAGACCCCAGTTGTTTGGAACCTGAAAAAATACTAAGCAGCTTTTGTGACTCAAACCTTTAGTCCCTCTAACTCCCAACAATTGAAGGCAGATGAACCCCCAAGTTCTGATAATAAGCCTGTTGTGTAACTCCTGAGCCCATGGGAACAAATTTCATAAA